ATTGTCAGATTTTAACAAAAGAAGAAAGGAAGAAGCAAACAATGGAACAGAGTAGACACCTCCTTAAAAAAACGGAGAAAGAGAAAGCCGGAAAATGATAACATGGGCTGGGCATGGTGGCTCATGCCTGTAATCCCAGTACTTTTGGGAGGCCAAGCAGGGGCAGATAGCCTGAGATCTGGAGTTTGAGACCAGCTTGGCCAGCATGGTGAAACCCCATTTCTATTAAAAATTCAAAAATTAGCCAGGCATGGTGGCAGGCACCTGTAATCGCAGTTCAGTGGAGGCTGAGGCAGGAGAATCACTTGAACCTGGGAGGCAAAGGTTGTAGTGAGCCGAGACTGCACTATTGCACTACAGGCTGGGCAACAGAGCAAGACTCCATCTCAAGAAAAAAAAAAAAAAAGAAAAAAGAAAGGGATAAAATAGACTGCATAGGGTTTTTTGTTTGTTTTTTTTAATAAAATGAAATAGAAAAACTCTGCAAATCAGAAAAAGGAAGTAGCTTCTGGCCTTGTCTAGACTCTGGAATGAACAAGTAAACCTGATTATGATCAGTGTCAAGCAATATTTGCCAATTTCTATGAAACTGTAAATATAAAGAAAGGCCTGTGAGTCATGAGTAAAGGAGAGGAAATTTACAGCAATATTTACTGTGCAGATTCTGATTCACCACTATTTTGAGAGGAAGCTTGGGTGCTTTTAGCAGACACATTTACGTTTTACTGGAATCTCAATCTTATCAAGCCACATTAGCTAAGAAATTACTTGTGGGTTGCTTTAAGTAATATTTTACATAGAAGATTCAGAAAAAACAGTAAGACTCCTAAGTGTTAATTCTTAAGTAAAACTCAGAAGAGAAATAAGTTAGCAAAAAAAAAAAAAAAAAAAAAAAAAAAAAAAAAAAAAAAAAAAAAAAAAATCTCAGTACAGGTTAAGTCTACCTTAAGAAAATGTGATTTTGGTCTTGCAGAATAGATAAACTAGGGTAAGGTATTTGCTTTGACCGGGACTTTTTATTATGCTTTGCAAACTCCACTCCTGCAAATGGAACCAACTATGTTGTCCATCAAAAGTGAATTTTTTCCATCAAACGTTAAATAAATTATGCATTTCTACATAATGAAACACTAGGCAGCTTTAAAAAAGTAAAAAGAAATCAGTTTATAAGTGAGCTAGGGAAATATGGCAAGGTATGAAACACTGTATATTAGATTTCTCTGTCTTTGTAAATGCTTAGAACTACACTGACAAAATCTAAATTAACTAGTACCATTTCTTTAACGGTGATTGGTTGACATGGGGGAAAAATGGGGATTGCAGAAAGACTTCCTCCCCTAATGCATTTTCTGTAGTGTTTGTTGCTGTTTTTTGTTTTGTTTTGTTTTTTTCCCTTTTCCTTGCCCTGATGAATATTTCTTACTTTGGGTGGGGAGGGAAAAAAAAAGCTAACAATTAAAAAAAAATTGATTTTAAAAAATATCTGAAGTCTGGGTGCAGTGGCTCATGCAGACTTCCAGCAGTTTGGGAGGCTCCCAGCAGGTTGGGAGGCTGAAGTGGGTGGATCATGAGGTCAGGAGTTCGAGGTCAGCCTGTCAAATATGATGAAACCCCATCTCTACTAAAAAATGCAAAAATTAGCCAGGCATGGTGGTGTGTGCATGTAGTCTCAGCTACTTGGGAGGCTGAGGCAGGAGAATCGCTTAAAACCAGGAGGTGGAGGTTGCAGCAGTGAGCTGAGATCGCAGTACTGCACTCCAGCCTGGGCGACAAAGTGAGACTCTGTCTCAAAAAAAAAAAAAAAAAAAAGTGAAAAAAATTGTCCTTCATTTCTAATATTATTGATTAGAAATTAGGTTTTAGAAGTAAATGTTGAAATACAAGCAGAAACAATAGTACTTATACTCCTCTTGAAAATTAATTAAGTATTCCTTAAATTGATCTTGGTCACAGAGCTTATAAAAATGCTAACACTATGATTACAGAGGACAGCTCTCTCACTGTCATCTACTGCTTGTTGAATGATGAATGATGCACTGTTGTTTCCATTGATTTTTTTTTTTTTTTGATACATGATTTTGCTCTGTCACCCAGTTTGGAGAGCAGTGGCACAAACATAGTTGATTGCAGCCTTAACCTCCCAGACTCAAGTGATCCTCCTACCTCAGCCTCCTGTATAACTGGGACTACAGGCATGTGTCACCACGCCTGGCTAACTTTTTAAAGTTTTCTTTTTCTTTTCTTTCTTTCCTTATTTATTTATTTTTTTTTTTTGTAGAGACAGGATCTTGTCACATTGCTCAGTCTGGTCTTGAACTCCTGGCCTTAAGCAGTCCTCCCACCTTGACCTCCAAAAGCAATGGGATTACAGGCATGAGCCACCACACTTGGTCTTATTAATAATTTCCAGTAAGACGCCTCAGTGTCTTACTAGCCTGATCCAGGAAAGCTGGATCACTATAGGAGAGGGTAAGGGGGATATGGCTTTCCCTAATGTACCGTTTTGTGTTATCTGTGTCAGTTTCACAACCATAAATAGGGAAAAGAGGGTAGTTTTATTTATTTTCATAACTCAAGGAAGACTGTGTGCACCAATTGAAGCTGTATGGACACTTAGAAGATGAAGAGTAGGTATGATTACAGGGCTGCTTTATAAGGAGAATGGCTGTTTTTCCAACACACACTAAAGCAAGAGACAGATGGAAATGACAGGAGTTATTTAAGTCTGTGATGTCGGGTTGTGATAATGCAGGTAGCTGACCAAGGTCTGTTATTAGAGGCCATTGTTTTACTCCTGTGCTTTCAGTGATGGCAGCATGGCATAGGGAGAGTGGCAAAACCAACCAGGGCAGCATGAGTCAGTCTTGATGTCACTGTAATACCAAAGGAGGCCAAGAGCAGCGGCATAGTGATCTATATGGATTATTCAACTCTTTTTTTTTTTTTTTTTTTTTTTTTTTGAGACGGAGTTTTGCTCTTGTTACCCCAGGCTGGAGTGCAATGGTGCGATCTCGGCTCACCACAACCTCTGCCTCCTGGGTTCAGGCAATTCTCCTGCCTCAGCCTCCTGAGTAGCTGGGATTACAGGCACACGTCACCATGCCCAGCTAATTTTTTTGTATTTTTAGTAGAGACGGGGTTTCACCGTGTTGACCGGGATGGTCTTGATCTCTTGACCTCGTGATCTACCCGCCTCGGCCTCCCAAAGTGCTGGGATTACAGGCTGAGCCACCGTATTCAACTCTTAAATGGGCGAAAACATGTCGTACACTGGAACTTGGATCAAGAGAAGCAGCTCCAGGCACTTTGGGAGACTAAGGTGGGAAGATCACTTGAGCCCAGGAGTTCAAGGTCAGTCTGGGAAAAATAGCCAGACTTTGTACCTCCAAAAAATGTTTTAGAAAGTCATCTGGGCATGGTGGCATGTGCCTGCAGCCCCAGCTACTTGGGAGGCTGAGGTAGAAGGACTGCTTGAGCCAGGGAAGTCGAGGCTGCAGTGACCTGGGATCATCCAGCCTGGGGAACACAGCAAGGCTCCATCTCAAAAAAAAAAAAAATAATATAGATTTTTTTCTTTTTAAATTTTTTGACCATCATTTAGCAATGGTCGACAGAGATTTTTTTTTTTTTTAAAGATAGAGTCTCACCTTGTCTCTCAGGCTGGAATGCAGTGATGTGATCTTGGCTCACTGCAACTTCCACCTCCCAGGTTCAAGCAATTCTCTGACCTCAGCCTCCTGAGTAACTGGGACTACAGGCACATGATGCTATGCTGAGCTAATTTTTTTGTATTTTAGTAGAAATGGGGTCTCACCATATTGCCCAGGCTGGTCGCAAACTCCTGAGCTCAGGCAATTCAACTGCCTTGGCCTCCCAAAGTGCTGGGATTACAGGCATGAGCCACTAACAAAATTTTTAAAAAACAGCTTCACAATAAAATTTTAGATGGACATTAATGTAACTTATTTAGCTCTGAAAATCCAAATCTGATACATTGTGACCCTCTTTTTTTTTTTTTTTTGAGAGACGGAGTCTCTTTCTATTGCCCAGGCTGGAGTGCAGTGGTACAATCTTGTCTCACTGCAACCTCTGCCTCCCACGTTCAAGCAATGTTCGTGACTCAGCCTCCCAAGTAGCTAGGATTACAGGTGGCTGCCACCATACCTGGCTAATTTTTATATTTTTAGTAGAGATGGAGTTTACCATGTTGGCCAGGCTGGTCTTGAACTCCTGACCTCCTGCTCTGCCAGCCTTGGTCTCCCAAAGTGCTGGGATTACAGACATGAGCCACCATGCCCGGCCTGTGACCCTTAATAAAGAGCACACAGATGATTTTTCTTTACAAAAAGCAGATATATTCACTGCACAATATTGTGAAACAGAGACAATAGCAGCAGTAGAAGGAAGATGACTTATGCCTGCATCATTGAGAGATCACTAGCACCAAAAATTTTGGCTCATATCTTTATTATTCATTTATATGTCTATCATCGAATTCAAATATGTATATGCATAAATATATAAAATTTATAAAATAAATGGCATCATCCCGTTCACAATAACTTAAAATAGAACCTAATGCTGTGTGCTTGTGGCTGGGTGTGGTGGCTCACACCTTTAATCCCAGCACTTTGGGAGGCCAAGGTGGGCAGATCACTTGAGGTCAGAAGTTTGAGACCAACCTGGCCAACATGGTGAAACTCCATCTCTACTAAAAGTACAAAAATCAGCTGAGCGTCATGGCACGTGCCTGTAATATTAGCTACTTGGGAGGCTGAGGCAGGAGAAACACTTTTCAGGGAGCCAAGATCACCCCACTGCACTCCAACTTGAGCGACAAAGTGAGACTCCAACTCAAAACAATAGCAACAAGCCACCAAAACCAAACCAAACAAAAAAAGCAACAAAACCTCATGGTGTGTGCTTGTCAACCACGTTGAAATTTACATCTTTTTGAAAAGTTCAAAGTTCTCCTAAGGTCTGAAGTGATTCCCACTTACCTTCCGAGGCTTCACCTTGTCTTGTACGTCATACTGGCCAATTCCCTTATAGCTAATTCCAAGCCACCAAGGAAGTCCTTGCTTATCCTAGAAGGTTGAAAAAGCATGAAAATCAAGGCCTAATCGTTAACTCTTCTAGAGGTGAATATAATTTACCAATTTTACCTCTTAACAAGTATCATCAAGTCAAAATAAAGCTGTCTTGATAAACAAAACATTATTTAAAAACCTAACTTGTTATTAAAACACCTTAGAGGTTCTTCAAATAAAATCTGTAAGTTGAAACAGTTCAATACTGTTAATACCACCAAAAGAGTAAAGCAATACTGTTTTGATTGAACAGATGTAGAAAATAAATAAAATGTAAGTAATTCAACTAAGAATTAATCCAGGATAAAGCCAGTTATCCATTAAAAAAAAAATGAAAGCTCTTTGTTCTCTTAATTAGTAACCAGTTATAAAAGGTTGGGGAAGTTTCCAAAGAATTACAAAGATGAGAAAAAAAGTGATTCCAATTCCTGATGTTTATAAAACAATTAACAATGAACATGGGAATATTGAAAACCCTTTTGGAGAACTGTACAATTCAATGACAGGATGTCTGAATAACTGGTTTGAAGTACATATGGGGAGGTGACATTGTTTACATAAATTTATCTTTTTATGTTTTGCCAAAGCAAAGACTATACCGACACAGGAAAAGGAAAATTTAGGCTCAGACAGCTACCTATATGCAAATCAGAGGCAGTAGAAATTAAAGTTAAATTGGAGGCTGGGGCTTGGTGGTTCATGCCTATAATCCCAGCACTTTGGGAGGCCGTGGCAGGCAGATGGCCCCAGGTCAGGCGTTTGAGACCAGCCTGGCCAAAATGGTGAAACCCTGCCTCTATTAAAAATGCAAAAAATGGCCGGGCGTAATCCCAGCACTTTGGGAGGCCGAGGCAGGTGGATCACGAGGTCGAGAGATCGAGACCATCCTGGTCAACATGGTGAAACTCCATCTCTACTAAAAAATACAAAAAATTAGCTGGGCATGGTGGCATGTGCCTGTAATCCCAGTTACTCAGGAGGCTGAGGCAGGAGAATGGCTTGAACCCAGGAGGCGGAGGTTGCAGTGAGCTGAGATCGCACCATTGCACTCCAGCCTGGGTAACCAGAATGAAACTCCATCTCAAAAAAAAAAAAAGAAAAAATGCAAAAAATGAGGCAGGTGTGGTGGCGCATGCCACCCTGTGCAATCCAAGCTACTCAAAAGGCTGAGGCAGGAGAATCACTTGAACCCAGGAGGCAGAGGTTGCAGTGAGCCGAGATCACGCCACTGCACTCCAGCGTGGGCAACAGAGCTACACTTCGTCTCAAAAATTGGTACTGTTTTTTCACACAGGTATTCTCATTACATCAGTATTTTTAAAGCTAATTCCCCATCATTTTGAATTGTATACAGATATAAACATTATCATAACATGAAAAGTCAATCAAGAACTGATCAATTATATAATTATTTCTCTTCCAAACAAGAAACCCTTAACACTCTCATCTCATCATCTCAAAATATCTGTCAATCTCTCCCTGCTTATAAACATCTAAAAATACTTTTCATCATCTCAAAATATTTGTTGGTCAATCTCTCCCTGCTTATAAAACATCTGAAAATACAGTGTATGAAATACACTCATTGAAATGTGGCATTGCAAATACTGTATAAATTTCAGCATTTTATAAAGCTGTTGAAATAACGTTGGAGACTGCATAATTTTCAAACAAAAGTACCGTTAAATGAAGACCTGGTAGTGCTAGAAAGCTAACCAATTGGAAAAGAGACTAATCAGCAAACAGAGGTGTTTCCAAAGACAATGATAGGAACATCTTAGGAGGAAGACAGGTCTTGGGAAAACATTTTAACTTAGCAAGTATTTTGCAAAAATAATGTGTTTTATAATTTGCTGTAAATGGCAAGATATAATCAGCCTTTTATATATTATGAAAAAAGCTGATATTGTGCAATAAGCTCTTAATTATCATGAAAGCTTTGTTATGTAAAACTACTTACCTTTACTGCATAATAATGGACACCATAAGTTGGTAGAGCTTCTACTATTTTCATATACCTATGGAAAATAAATATGTATCACAATCTTATTAAAATCATCAGAGGACCCTTTTGGGAAAAGTGTTTTAAAGAAACACCGTATTTTTACTTTCCTCATTATAACAACAATTAATATGTTTCACTCTAGAAACAGGATAAACCATTTTGGGGAGTAATATATTTTAGCTTATCCAAATGTTAGGAAGTTGCTAATAGAACCTCATTTTCAGAAAGCAATAGAACATGTTACTTTCTGCACATTCAAACGCTTATGGCTTAGAAATGTGCCACAGCATAAACTCCAATTGCAAGTATTTTTTTAAATAAGCCCTTAATGATGCAAGCAATGAGCACCAATTTTTGAGTCATACTCATAAGTGAAAAAAATGAAGCTATTCCATATATTGCTTACGGTAGAAATTACATAACTAGAAACATCTATCAAAACTCCTAGAAATATGTACCTTAAAACTATGAATTACGCCTATGTAAACCTGACTTTAAAAATGTCCCCCCAAAATAAAAATTAAAGCAACAGTGCCACTACTTGCTATTTTTTAATTCAAAAGGGTTTATTGTACACCTTTAAGGCTTTGGAGTGGACTAAATTGTGTAACACTTCCTCTCTGCCCTTAAGGAACTGAGGTTCATGTTTTAACGCAAGTAGATTTTTTAATGCCATTTTGATGATCAGTTTCTCTGGAAACTGTAATCAATAATTTGATATATATATTTTTAAGTAAATGGCCTACATGTAAATGAATATAGGAAGTTAAGTAAATGTGTCAAGGTCATGCAGCAACTAAACTGCACATCCAGAATTCTAACAAAATGAGTTGGACTTCACATCCTAGAGCCTTAACTACCAAGTGGAACAGACTCTTAGATGAAGCCACACAATAATGATCAGGTGAAGGAATAAGACTCTGTATTTAAGCATGGGTACTTTTTTTTCTTTTAATTGTTTTTTAGGTTTCAGGGTACACGTGCAGGATGTGCTGCACGTTTGTTACATAGGTAAATCAGTGCCATGGTGATTTGCTGCACTTAACAACCCATCACCTAGGTATTAGACCCAGGATGCATTAGCACTTTTCTCTAATGCTCTCCCCCACTCCAGCCCTTCTCTGACAGGCCCCAGTAAATATTGTTCCCCTCCCTGTGTCTATGTGTTCTCACTGTTCAGCTCCTACTTATAAGTGAGAACCAGTGGTGTTTGGTTTTCTGTTCCTGCATTAGTTTTTTTGCTGAGGATAATGGCTTCCAGCTTCATACATGTCCCTGCAAAGGACATGATCTCATTCCTTTTTATGGCCAGATAGCATTCCATGGTGTATATGTACTACATTTTCTTTATCCAGTCTATCACTGATGGGCATTTGGGTTGATTCCATGTCTTAAACATGGGAGCTTTGTAATATACAGTCACGCATTGCTTAACAATGAGGATACATTCTGAGAATTGTGTTGGTAGCTGATTCTGTCCTTGTGCACACATCATGGAGTATACTTACACAAACCTAGATGGCAAAGCCTATTATACAGTAAGGCTGTATGGTATGGCCTATTGCTCCTAGGCTACCAACCTGTACAGCATGTTACTGGGCTGAAATACTGTAGGCAACTATAATACAATGGTAAGCATTTGAGTATCTAAACATAGAAAAGATATAGTAACAATATGGCGTTATAATCCTATAGGCCCACCATTCTATATGTGGACAGAAATGGTGCATGACTGTACTCAGTAGTTTACCCTAAAACTCTTAATGAAAATTGTCACTACTTTCTTTTTCTTTTCAGTTCAGAAAACAGGCACAATGAATTAAAATGGCAAGGATCCAACTTCAGGAGGCTAAATTCTGATTTCTGCCATGAAGATAATAGAAGGTGTGTTCTGATAAAACAAGATTACAGGCCAGGTATAGTGGCTCACGTCTGTAATCCCAGCACTCTGGGAAGCTGAGGTGGGTAGATCATTTGAGGTCAAGAGTTTGAGACCAGCCAGGCCAACATGGTGAAACCCTGTCTCTACTAAAAATACATAAATTCGTTGGGCATGGTGGCACGCACCTGTGTAATCCCCACTACTCAGGAGGCTGAGGCAGGAGGCAGAGTTTGCAGTGAGATGAGATCATGCCACTGCACTCCAGCCTGGGTGACAGAGCAAGATTCCGTCTCAAAAAAAAAAAAAAAAAAAAAAAAAAAATGAGATTAGAGCAAAGAAGAAGGAGTGTGAAGAAAATCTACACACTGACCAGGAGATTAGCAATCTCTAAATTCTTATTTCAGTTTTCACATGCATAGAAATAATTCTAAAAGTTTAGTGTGGCAGGTTTTGCTCGTCACCCTGGCTAAGTGACAATGGCATGATCATGGCTCACTGTAGCCTCTGCTTCAATGGTTCAAGCAATTCTCCTGCCTCAGCCTCTCAAGTAACTGGAATTACTGGCACCCACCAACATGCCCGGCTAATTTTTGTATTTTTAGCAGAGATGGGGTTTCACCATGTTGGCCAGGCTGGCATCAAACCCCTGACTTCAGGTGATCCAACTGCCTTAGCCTTCCAAAGTGCTGGGATAGCCGGCATGAGCTGCTGTGCGGGCCTGTTCTTAATAATGGATGGTAACTCTGTAAGTCACAAAATACAGAAATACATTACAATGGTTTGTTCTTAGTAGCATAAAGAAACAGATTATCTGACACCAATATACTATGCGCTCCATTCAAAGTAGAGTCACAAACTGGGGAACAAAACATGGCCTCTAGATAGGTTTTGTTTGGCTAACATAACATTAAATTTTCTTTAAATTACTTCCCAATGAGGTAAGATTTAAAAATCTGAATTTCCAGCTTCTCTTGGAAAACAAAGAACCTGGCAACTTTATGCCTGAATTATAAAGCTGAGTAACTTTGCCTCTACTCAGGATGAAAGCTCACTTGTTTGCCACAGTCCCCACCCTTCCCTATTGACCTACATCTGGCCTATGTTTCTAATTTTTGTTACTGCCTGACACTGGTAGGTATCTGAGTTGATGACACCAATGTATAGAATAACCTGAGACATTTTCTAATTTGTGGTAAGATATTTCTAACCAGATAAGGACTATGTTCGCAAAAACTACATAATAGAAATGACTTCAAGTGACATCTTCAAATGGGAGATATTAAAATTCTACCTAAGCAAAAGGAAAGAAAGATACTTACTGAACCACAGCTTGACCCCGAGTGAGACCTTTGATTTTCAAATAATGCTCAATTACCCTGTCCTCGCTGTAAAACAAAGAAATGAGAAAGATGGCAATGCATGATTATCTGAGGTACAGGCACAGTTTCCATATTATCAGGTGGCTACTGGAAACTTGAGAGGAAGCCTTCACCAATTTGTTTGATAGCGCGAGTTTGGTTTTTGTTTCCACAGGAGATGGATTCCTGAACTTCAGACATTTGATTGCCTTCCTTATCATCTTTAACTTATATTTTATGTATCATATTTATATAATACATACATATATATACACACACATACACACACACACACACACACACACACACACACACACACACATACATATAACTACCTTTAAAACTTAAAGCGCAATGGCTCATACCTATAATCCCAGCACTTTGGGGAGCCAAGGTAGGCAGATCACCTGAGGTCAGGAGTTTGAGGCCAGCCTGGCCAACATGGTGAAACTTTGTCTCTACTAAAAATACAAAATTATCTGGGTGTGGTGGCATACGCCTAGAATTCCAGCTACTTGGGCTGAGGCACAGAATTGCTTGAACCCAGGAGATGGAGGTTGCAGTGAACTGAGATCACACCATTGCACTCCAGCCTGGGTGACAACAGCAAAACTCTGTCACAAAAAACAAACAAAAAAACAATTTACTAGAAAAGAAAATAATATCAATTTCTTAAATGAAAAATGATCTTCTGCCATAATGGGATGAAATACAATACATATAAAATAATGATATCAAATGTTAGTTGTAGAACATTGTTGAGAAAATTTTGAGCATAAGGCTTATCCTCTCTTTGATTAAAACAGAGAGATCAGCAAGTGTTAGGCATTAAAGACTTTTTCCTTGGGTGATTCAGAAAGATTTTTAAAGAATTTAAACTGCTTCTGAGCCTGTGTACAATCTAAAATACTCTATTACCATCACTTACAGACATCTTGCTTTAGGAGAAAACCCTTTTATTGCCCTAGAGTAAAACCTGTTGACTAGAAAGGAAATCTCAAGTATAGCCCAGAAGACTAAGTATTTCTTTCTCCATACGACTAGCTGTCATTAGTAATGTCTTTTTTTTTTTTTAAATTAAAAAAACAATTACTTGGCCAGGCCAGTGGCTCACGCTGTAATTCCAGGATTTTGGGAGGCTGAGGCAGGTGGATTGCCTGAGGTCAGGAGTTTGAGACCAGTCTGGCCAACATGGTGAAACTGTGACTCTACTAAAAATACAAAAATTAGCCTGACATGGTGGTGGGTGCCTGTAATCCCAGCTACTTAGGAGGCTGAGGCATGAGAATTGAACCCGGGAAGCAGAGGTTGTAGTGAGCTGAGTTCACGCCACTGCACTTCAGCCTGAGCAACAGAGCAAGACTCCATTTCAAAGAAAGAAAGAAAGAAAAAAACTATCACTTGAAAATGACATGGTTAGAAGCTTCCAGAGTCAAGATGCTATGTAGCGTCAGTACTTACTTTCACTATTTATTTGGGAATATATTTGCAACTTCATACTAAATGTCTCAATATTAAATATTTATTTTGTAATCTATTTTGAAAAACATTTTAGTGGAAAGAAAAACCATTGTGAGGATTCAGACTGAAACAAAGGAGAATACCTTTAATAAGAATGTAAGTATTTTAAGGGAAAATGTAATTAAGAAAAAAATGTGGGATGAAAATAGATACTATGGATTCATTAAAATACAAACAACCAAACCAACTCAATATATACAATGATACCTGGCTATAGCATAAACCTCTGGTCATTAAGAAAATATCTCATCCAAGGAAATTTGTATTTTATAACACTTACATTGCATTCTGCTCAATTAAGGCTGCGCTGCATTACTCAGTGACTGTGCATACATTGACTATTGTATATTCATCTAGAAGCACACTCTAAGACATTTAACACACTTGAAAGAAACATCAGCCAGTTGCTCTTTGCAAATGACTGCAAGACACATCTTGGTATAACGCTCTCCAGTGAACTTTGAGTAGATCCTTTCACTGAAAGGATCAAAGTCTACCTATGGTTTCTTTATACAATTGATGGGCAATGTGATATTGTTCTCGCTTATATGTCTTTTAATGTCCCAAAAAACATGCAGTTCTCAATAGAAGCTTTGAGAAGGGGTCACCTGTCATGTGGATTTGGCTTACCAGTAAGCAAGGGATGGATGCTCCTGAAGAGTTTTGGTTGGAAAGGCTGGTAATGTCTTTAAATCTTTCCTGGCATTTTCATCACTAAAAAGAAATGGAATTTGGTAATGTCAGGTACTATTATCCAAAAGAATTATCCAAGCCTGTCACTAAATGAATGAGATCTGAAAAATAACTACTTACAGCATGTTGGAGCCAACGTACACATGGTTACGGACTCTAAGTAGAAACAGCCCCCAAATTTAACAATTGAGTTATATGACAAGATTTTGAAGTTTATAATATGTTCTGCATGTGTCTATTTTATACATAATTATAATTGTACATTTTTCACATTGCATTTTTACACAGCATTCTTCACATTTCATTATCCACTTTCTCTATGTTCCTACAATATTTTACAAATTATCTTCAGAGGCTACATAATATTCATCATGTTGGGATCTGGTTATCATGAAATCATTCACATAACATCACCAATTTTTCATAATAGATATCATTGCAATGAATGGTTTATGTAGTCCTTTATATTACTCTTCTGTTATTTCCTTACAACCCTCTGAAATACAGCAGACCAAGTCAGCCACCTGTAGAAATCTCTCGACTAGAAGATGACCGGAAAACGTGTTTCTAATGAAACCCAAGGTATCTCTTAAGTCACGTTAAGTGAACTAAAATGTACCTCATGTAAGGTCAGCTATCATCTAACTATAAAATGGCAAAGGCTGGGCACGGTGGCTCATGCCTGTAATCCCTGCACTTTGGAAGGCCCCAGCAGGCAGATCACCTGAGGTCAGGAGTTCGAGACCAGCCTGGCCAACCTGGCGAAACCCCATCTCTACTAAAAATACAAAAATCAGCCAGGCGCAGTGGCACACGCCTGTAATTCTAGCTACTCAGGAGGCTGAGGCAGGAGACTAGCCGGAACCCAGGAGAGACAGAGGTTGTGGTGAGCTGAGATCACGCCACTGCACTCCAGCCTGGGCAAGAGTGACATTCTTTTGGTTCAATTCACTCACTAATTTAAAAAAAAAAAAAGTGAGATTCTGTCTCAAATAAACAATGAAACACCAAACCCGCAAAATTCTAGTCGTCAAGAGAAAGGTGTGTTCTTTACAGAACTTTAAAAAAGGAAGAACAGGTAATCCTACCCAGTCATAGTTGGTTATGAGAGAAAATACTCCAAATATGGAGTATTTAAGGATATAATCTATGAGGAAATGAACACGATTATCTAGAGCCTATTAGAGCGCAGAATAAGTACATGAAACACCTACTCAAAATTCTGATCAAACTGGTGTTCATCAAACAGCATAACGCTAACTCTTCCTACTTTCCACTTCTTCCTGTCTTTACCACTCGCTACCCTTTGATGAAAAGCTCCCAAGTGTGAGATACCATGCACCACACTTCTTGGGCCTTATTTACGTCATATGAGGCTCACCACAAGCATTCCCATGCAGTAGATACTATTGTTATCTATTGAAGTAGATGAGCCCCCCACCTGGAGGACCAAACATTGAACCATTCCTTGGTGATATCACATTTCAAAGCCAGGGTTGTGGCCTTTCCTACAGGTGAAAGATCTGGCTTGCCAAATTACTACAGGAAATGAAAAATCACTTGGCTCCTGTTCTTACATAAGAATAAATCTCTCTATTCATTTGAAATCTGAGTGCTATGCCTTAACCACACTGACAAACTTGGGAAACTGGTTTGTGCTTCCTGAAAATCAAAATATACCACAATCCAATTTATTCATATGAAAGGTCAGCTGTCAACTCCCAGTATTTTTATTTTTCTTAATAATCTCTTTTATGTTTTGTCTGGCATAGCACATTTACTTTTTTTTTTCAAACCCAAGACTGTCAGATACATTTACTTCTAAATTGTGATTTTTTCAAAAAAACGAAGGGCAAATGCATGCATATATTAAAAAATGATAAATTCAGGATAACATCGTGCTGTGAATCATCCCCATCAACCACATGCATGTTGTTATTTTCTAGAGCCAGATGAACCATAGGTCATGTCTCAAGAACCCAGCCTAGCATTCACTTACTTGGATTACAGTTAATTTTGTGGCAGTGGAGACCTCACTGGATTGGAAGTTGCTATTTGCCCTAAATTTATTTATTCAGTGAACAAAAATGTGTAAATGTATACTGCATGCCTAACATGTAGAAATGAGTGGCATATGATAGAATTGTTTTTAACTCATACAAATGCAGTCAGCCAAAATGGAAAGGAACGTGAGGGAGAAATTTTATGTCATTCCATTCAGTAAGCTCATGGTTGAGAATAAGTACAAAATGGATGACTTGAAGCTTTGTCCTTAGTCCTATATCCCTCCAAGCACAAGTATCTCATGACACTGAGATTTTCCCAGCATTCAGGCATTGAATACATGTCTGTTAAATGCAGCAATCTTTATATCCAGTGCCTAACTAAAGAAATAGCTGTGGCTGGGAGCAGTGGCTCACACCTGTAATCCCAGCACTCTGGGAGGCTGAGGCAGGCGGATCACCTGAGGTGGGGAGTTCAAGACCAGCCCGACCAACATGGTGAAACCCCGTCTTTTTTCAAAAATAAATAAATAAATAAATAAATAAAAAGAAATAGCTAAGTGTTTCAACTGGAGAAAAATACCACCTGTGTCGGATTTATTGAAGGATGAAGTTTTGTCTTCAACACATCATTTTCTCAAGAATTTTCAAGACGAATTTGAACTATACACAATCAGAATCTACTCCAGTTATAAGATGTTATTCACTTAGAAATGCTGGCTGAGGCCGGGCGCGGAGGCTCAAGCCTGTAATCCCAGCACTTTGGGAGGCCGAGGCGGGTGGATCACGAGGTCAAGAGATCGAGACCATCCTGGTCAACATGGTGAAACCCCGTCTCTACTAAAAATACAAAACATTAGCTGGGCATGGTGCGTGCCTGTAATCCCACCTACTCAGGAGGCTGAGGCAGGAGAATTGCTTGAACCCAGGAGGCGGAGGTTGCGGTGAGCCGAGATCGTGCCATTGCACTCCAGCCTGGGTAACAAGAGCGAAACTCCGTCTCAAAAAAAAATAAAAATAAAAAAATTAAAAAAAGAAATGCTGGCTGAATAAATCAATAAATTACCAAAGGTTAATCATGAGCCAGTATCTGAGCTAACAATGAATATTCATTAATTAAGACCTTTTTTGGGTACTAATCACTGAGAAGCAACTAAAATGTACATTAATAGGGAAGTGGATTAGGGATCATTTTAAGGAGAGTTTCGACTACCTTGAAAAAAAGTACCAGGCGTGGTGGTTCACGCCTGTAATCCCAGCACTTCGGGATGCCAAGGTGGCCGGATCATTTGAAGTCAGGAATTCAAGACCTGCTTAGCCAACATGGTGAAACCCTGCTCTATTAAAAATACAAAAATTAGCCAGGTGTGCTGGGTGTGGTGGTTCACGCCTGTAATAAGAGCATTTGGGGAGGCCAAGGTGGGCGAATCACCTGTGGTCAGAAGATCGAGACCAGCCTAGACAACATGGTGAAACCCCATCTCTATTAAAAATACAAAAATTAGATGGGCGTGGTGGTGCACGACTATAATTCCAGATACTCAGGAGGCTGAGGCAAGAGAACTGCTTGAACCCAGGAGGCAGAAGTTGTGGTGAGCTGAGATTGCACCACTGCACTCTAGCCTGGGTCACAGAGCAAGACTGTTTCAAAAAAAAAATATATATATATATATATATAGCTGGGTGTGGAGGCTTACGCTTGTAATTCCAAAACTTTGGGAGGCTGGGGTGGGCAGATCACTGGAGGTCAGAAATTCAAGACCAGCTTTGCCTATGTGGTGAAACCCCGCTCTTCTAAAAATGCAGAAATTATCCAGGTATGCCAGGCATGGTGGCTTATGCCTGAAATCCCAGCATTTTGGGAGGCCAAGGTGAGTGTATCACCTGAGGTCAGGAGTTTGAGACCAGCCTGGCCAACATGGTGAAACTCTGTCTCTACTGAAAATACAAAAAATGAGCCAGGTGTGGTGGTACATGCCTGTAATCCCAGCTACTTGGGAGGCTGAGGCAGGAGAATCACTTGAACCTGGGAGGCGGAGGCTGCAGTGAACCTAAACTGCATCACTGCACTCCAGTCTGGGTGACAGAGCGAGACTCTGTCTCAAAAAGCAAACAAACAAAAAACCAAAAAAATGTATACTTAAACAGATGGAACACAGAAGATTTTTAGGTTACTGAAACTATTCTGTATGATACTGTAATGGTGGATATATGACATTATGCATTTGACAAAACCTGTATAACTGTACAACACAAAGAGTGAACCCTAATTTGATTATAGACTTTTGCACCAAACGTACCACACTAATGCAAGATGTTAATAATAGGGGAAGCAGTGGGGGTAGGGAGAGGGGGTATAAAGGAACTCTGTACTTTCTTTTTTTTTTTTTTTTTTTTTTTTTTTTTGAGACGGAGTTTCGCTCTTGCTACCCAGGCTGGAGTGCAATGGCGCGATCTCGGCTCATCACAACCTCCGCCTTCTGGGTTCAGGCAATTCTCCTGCCTCAGCCTCCTGAGTAGCTGGGATTACAGGCACGCGCCACCATGCCCAGCTAATTTTTTGCACCTTTAGTAGAGACGGGGTTTCACCATGTTGACCAGGATGGTCTCGATCTCTTGACCTCATGATACACCCGCCTCGGTCTCCCAAAGTGCTGGGATTACAGGCTTGAGTCACTGTGCCCGGCCGGAACTCTGTATTTTCTGATCAGTTCTTCTGTAAATCTAAAACTGTTCCCAAAAAAAGTTATTAAGAAAAAAGAAGAAGTAAATAGAGCAACTTCTATTTGGTTATACATTAAAAAAAAAAAAAAAAAAAGAAAAGAAGAAGAAGAAATATACTTTAGATTAGTGGTTCTTAATTTGGGCAGTTTTGCCCTTCAGGGGATATTTAGCAATGTCTGAAGGCATTTTTGATAGTCACAACTGAGGAAAGAAGTGTTACTGGCTTTTACTGGGTAGATTCTACAATGCACAGGACAGCCCTGAACAACAAAGGATGATCCTGCCCAAAATGTC